ATTCTTGATCAAACGTCATACAGGACTTACTAAAATTTTGTGCAACTCAATGAACTCAATAAATGTATATTCTTAATCAAACGTCATACGAGACTTACTAAAATTTTGTACAATTCAATGAACTTAATAAATATTCTTGATCAAACGTCATACGAGACTTAATGAGTCGGATGTTAAACGAATAATGAAACCGATTTAGACGTTTAACGAAGCGTGTCGCTTGGGTAAGTGGAAATGTTCGGTCAGTATGTTTTATTAGTGATTGTAGTTTAGTATTTGTTGGCGCACTTTGACCCGCGGGATTGTATTGTAATGCGTAACGTATGATGTAAATGATTGAATGTGAACGAAAGTTTCACTATGCTTCCCTATAGCTGTCGTTCTGTTAGCGCAAATTGGATGTACATGGTGGGCCTTGTTGGAAGAAACGAAAATTACTTAATAAATTTCTTTATAAAATGTCGTAAGGTACTTACTAAAATTTTGTGCAACTCAATGAACTTAGTAAATGTATATTCTTGACAAAATGTCATAAAATCTTGTACAACTCTAAATTAAAAGTTACTAAAATGTTTGAAGAACACCTCTTTTGATGACGTAGTTAAAAAATTGTCAAATCTATAAATCCCATGAAATATTACTAATAGCAATAGAGCGTGCTATAATTAATGACTATTGTCACTGCTAACAGTCAAAAATATTTAGAAGCAATACGACTGAATATTTATTAAGAAATTTATGTTTCTTTCGTTTGATCCCGTCGTAATTCACATATCCGATAGTAACTCAAATTTGTAATTTTTAAAAGTATCAAAGTTCGAAAACTTTGAAAATATTCAGAAATAGTGTAAATTTATTTGAAAAACAAATTTTATTCTTGCACATATACATCATAATTGTTTTTATTTATAACTAGATGCATGGTCATAGTATAAAAATTTGTTAAGATAACAACGAAATGTTCTGATTTGTTTCTTGTTGTAATAGCATTTACTATTAATTTGTGCAAAGCATTTGATGATCGTAATCATGTTATTTCAGTGGAATTTAGTATGCAGTCGAACACATTACGCCAATATCCAACAATCAATTTTGATGTTCGGCGTACTTCTGGGCAATATTATATTCGGCAATTTAGCAGATAGGTAAAATACTATCTTTCGTGTTCTCGTTAATTTATGAAATGTATGAATTTAACATCGAGTATAGTTAAATCTTGTGAACTGTTACGTCAGGTATGGCAGAAAGATGCCATTGATGATATCCGTAGTTCTTCAACTGGTTTCCGGTATCGGATGCGCTGTTGTGCCGTGGTTTCCGGCACTCTTGTTAATGAAATTAATTAGCGCTTTGGCTACTGGAGGTACAATGGTTACTAGTTACGTTATTTGTAAGTACTTGTACCATTTATCACTGCATAAGTTTCCTTATTTACCAATAAATAAATTATTTATCTTGAACATTTACCAGAAGTATTCTGATAGCTTACTAAAATATCAGAAGCTTTCGAAATAGTTATAATATTAAAATGTTGCATTAGAAACGTTGAATACAAGCCCAAGAATTATTCATAAAATTGAAATCTATTAATTTTGTTTCATTAAAAAGTTGAACTATATGTACAGAATCCTAGATTCTTAGAAGAAGAGTTAGATTGATGAATCTAATTGCTTTTGAACTCTACAAACTTTTGTAACACATAAAGAATCATGATACTATGTTACATTTAATAAAACATGGTCTTCTGTTCTTAAGAAAATAATGTTCACAAATAAGAAAGTTTTAAAATTCTACTTTTGTGGGAAATATATTTAACAATTTTCTGAAATCTAGGTATGGAAATAGTTGGTACAAAATGGCGAGCAGCCATAACAGTACTGTACCAAATTCCATTCAGCTTAGGCCACGTGTCGTTGGCTGGACTCGCATTTTTGTTCCGCCATTGGCAACATCTTCAGATGGCTATCACGCTTCCCTCTATCATCCTTCTAAGTTATTGGTGGATCGTTCCCGAATCACCAAGATGGTTGCTCGCATTTGGGAAACAGCGTGCGGCTTGCAAGATTCTCCAAAAAGCGGCCAACATTAACAATATACAAAATAAAGACATTCCAGAGTTGGTCAGACAACACTGCCTACATCAGGTAAAGTTTAAAGAATTTTAAGAAATCCTGCTGCTTAATTAACTTTTACAAGGTTGTACAATTTAAGGTTGTACAGTTACAATTTTTAATAAACACAACGTTTTTAAAACAAATAATTTACTACATTTACTCTATTTACTTTGTGATGTCGTATTAATCGATGTCACTTATTAACCATCTGTGATGACGTATTAAATTACATTGTGATATCTATCATTCCTCAATTATTTCTGCAGAACTCCAAGAGATCGGATTTAGATCACAAAGCATCCTTCATAGACCTGTTCCGCACTCCCAACATGAGGATAAAATCGCTGTCGATCTTTTTCAACTGGATAGTCTGCGGCATGGGCCTATTCGGAATGTCGCAGTACATAGGACAAGTCGGTGGAAACATTTTTATCAATTTCACCGTTTCCGGTGCTATTCAGATACCTGGCAACTTCGTCGCTTGGTGGGCAATGAACAAACTCGGTCGAAAGATCACGTTGATCTGTAGCCACTCGATCACAGGTGTCTCCGCTCTCTTACTCATCGTAGTTTCAAATAGTGAGTATATTTGCGAGTATCTTTTTTATGAAGGTTTATCGATGAAGGTTTATTAGATTTATTAGGTTCATTAGTCAGACGAATTTTCATTGGTTTTCTGATATGCTAAGAAGTATTATTAGCCCACAGCTATATTGCTACATATGTATAAAATCGAGACATAATTTTATGTAACTATGTCTGACATTTAAGACTAATACCTGACATTTGAGAGATCATTTAATAATATGAAGCAGTATGAAAATACAGGGTGCACGTAGAGTAATAGTGATTTAATACAGAAGGTGCTGATATAATTATGCACATAAATATTAAAAATATTAGATAATTTTGGATGTAGTAATTAACGAGCAGCGAGAAATTATCGAGCAGCTACTTATGTAATTACAGATAGAATTAGTCCTAGGAGTAGGACAGCAGTCTATTCCTATAAATCATGTTATAATGACTGACCGGAAAACAGAAATAAACCTTAAATCGTAAAATTAATCTTGAATTGTTAATCAGGTAGCCTTCCCGTTGTGATTTGTGTGTGTTTGTTTGCAGATGTCGCGTGGCTTCGATTAATTCTAGTCTGCATTGGCATCGTTGGTATGTCGGTCTCATTCACCACTGTTTATCTATTTTCTGGTGAACTGTTCCCAACAGTGATTAGGAATATTGGGGTCGGCACTAGCAGCATGTGTGCCAGAATCGGCTCCATCTTGGCGCCTTTCGTGGTGTCTTTGGTACGTTAGGAAGTAAGATAATTGTTACAGTAGAAAATAATTCAAATTTTATATAGTTGTGACAGAAAAGAGGTAAAATGTTTTGCGACAAATATAAAATTATTTACAAAACTTCATTTGTTAATTTGTAAGATTGTAAATTTCTTTTTATAGGATCTTATTCAAACTTGGCTGCCACCGGCTTGTTTCGGAATTCTACCTCTTATTGGTGCTGCTCTTTGCTTTTTATTACCGGAAACTGTAGGCTGCACGCTTCCGGAAACGTTAGAGGATGGTGAAAACTTTGGAAAGTCAGTATAATTCGCAATTAATTTTTCTTTGATGAAATGATGAGAAAAAGGAATAATCTTAATAATCAAGATAAATTTGCTTAATAAGTAAATAAAAATACGAACAAAACTCTAGGTTTGAATTCCACTAAAAAATTTTTTTACTTAAATGTCGATTTCCCATATTTAAAAATGGAGTTGTCCAATTTTTGTTATCGTAATTATCGCTACATCGGATTTTTAATGTAAATTAACTTTTCTTTGTAATTCTGTTAGGAAACTCCAGAAGATCAAGAAATACCCCAAGGACATCGAAGCAGAGGCGGCACTTTGAACAAAGACTGCAATAATTATTAAAGAAAAGAAGAAAATTATCGAAAGGTATAGAAACGATAAAAAATGAAAAACTGTAAAAATCGCAAAGGAAACATATCGAAATTTTCGTAAAATAATTAGGTGTATATATAAGTAATACTGAGATCATTCCGCGTTCTTATTTATTACATTAATACATTCACGATTTTAACTGCATCGAGGGATCGTTTTCTTCGCACAAACATATCGAGTTCATATTTTAGTGAATTCCTTTGTCCATTCGTGCCTAATAAACTTAATCGATACACTGTTCTCTTTGGTTAAAAAGTTCGATCTTCTCGTTTTTTTAAATATTTTAAAATAGACGAAAAACAATGTATTTTTATATCTTAATCAAAATTAACTTAAAATATATGTTTTATACGAATTTAGAAAATTACGTCGTTAGTAAAAAAACATGAAACTGTTTCAGTTTTAAAAAATAAGTAATTAATGTTTAAAAGCGTTAGGGCAATTCGACTGAAGAGGGCAGTGTGTAGCTTTGTTTACATGTAAAGAAGAAATTTAGCAGAAAAATATTCCAACTCGTTAGGATATTTGTGATATCTCGCTTTCAGAGAGCTAAACAGTGTCGTTTACTCGATTGTAACAATTACAAGAGAACCGTGCCTTGTATCATTTATATGCGAATGTATAAAAGGAAAATAGATCTTGTATTTTATAAAATGGATATGTTATTCTTCAGCATCCATTCCTCGTGTGTACCATGTGTCAAGAAAGTGTCTGGCTACTATAATATTGAAAATAAGTTCTCAGAAAGTCATTCCTAACTGTGTATTGTACATATGTATATTTTCCTTGTACATAAAGATTTTAAACAGATTTTCTGAAACCCTTACTCACTATCTTAATAAGCGTAATAATTTCAAAATATTTGAAAGTGATGATTTCGAAACATTGTCAATAGACAGTAAACTCTTATTATATTGCACATGGATATCCTTGGAGTTTCTTTTGTAATATGAATTTTAAGAATTTTTATATTTTCGAGAACGGCAATATGACGAGAGCCTACTGTTACTTTCTACCCTTACAATTATCCTGATAAAAAATTATTGCGAAGCTGTAACTACATCCCTAAATTTGTCACACCTATGTTTTTCCAATTATCAGACATTTGATATCTAATTGAATCAGAATATTATAAAGTTCAAAATCAAAATTCCTTAAAAGTCAAAACTTATTCTAAAGAAACCTTTAACGGTTCTATAATGTTACATGTGTACAAATTCAATACACTGCTATTCTAAAAGCCGCTTCCGCATTCTTGCCCCTTTATAGAATTGTGGGACATTACCGAGAAATGTATTCTTTGCACATTTCGCAAGTAAATATAGTCTGTTTGTAAGAAAGTATTTAAGTATTAAACAACCTTAAGTTTATCGGTTGTTAAACAATAAGAAATCCATACTGCATTGTAATACAATACGTGGTTATAAAGATCTCATAATTAGATAATTAAAGAAACTAATTAATCTCGAATGAATAATGTGTTTACATTTCCGAACTTGTTAGTTACACTATTTTTTAGAATTACATACAAAATAATACTCTTATCGTTATACTGTATATATCAGATTATAATTATACATTGTTGTACTCTTCGTACAACGACGAACAATATTTGTACGAACTATAACTTGTACACACGTCTGAGCCCGTTTGTAATGTATTCAATGTTTACTGTCTAATAAATACGTTTATTGCTCTGCGTTGCATTGTTTTCACCAGACAGGCAAAACAAACTGATAAAATTCGATCGTATTCATAAATCGTTCCAGATAGGAATAAAAGAAGAGTCATTTCCGTTTGAAGAAGCATTAGCATCGTTCAAAATCATGCTTATAATTTAAACAAACTAAAATGCCTCGAGACAAATAGTTTCTACTGAGAGAGTAGTTTTTAATTAACTATCACATTTGCTAAATTATACGATTATGAAGTGTACATAGTAAATTCGGTCAATAAAATCGATATTAATTGAATTTTTTTGAAAATTGAATATGTGGCGCCATCTCTTCGGCGAACAGGGTGAACTACACACTTTTGAAACTGTAGTTTCATTAGTTCCATATTCCATCGCTAGTTGGCGCCCGGTGTATCGTTTCCGGTTCAATTGAATTTAGTTTAATTGACTATGACATGCATCGAATTATATCGGAGTGCAAGACCAATTAACTTTGAATTGTTTCGACTTTACCAAACTATTATTAATTTTTAACCTTTCTTAGGCTAATCCTAATTAGCCTAAGGGTTTCTGTTTTATATGGCGCCACAAATGATAAGGACTGACCTGGTCTGTTGCGCATACGCGAGAAATGCAGAAATGGCGTCGCTAGATGACGTAGGTTGTTGGCGGGAAAACAGCGAAGAAGCAGTCCTTACGAAACGAGGCATCAGAAAAAATCCTGGTAACGATTTAACAGTTTTCCTTATCCTAGCATTCTAGTTGGTATTCTTTTATCGATTCTGTAAAATAAAATATTTTTATATAATATATTTTGCTTAAAATTATTTTAGTATCATTTTAACTTTAGTACCGATTTAGTACCCTATTAGGCAATTGTATAGAATACGTATATAATGTAATCTTACCCAATCTATTTCACAACCAAATTATAAGAATTTTTCACAACTAATGGACGGTGATTAAGGCACTCTACTTTATTAAAACTTGTACTTTATTGAAACTAACTCGCGGCACATGCGAAAATCCCCGGGCAATATCTAATACTAGCCGCCACCTAGCGGGAGAAGGCTAGAACTAATCAAACTACAGTTTCAAAAGTGCGTAGTTCACCCTGTTCGCCGGAGAGATGGCGCCACTTGTTCCATTTTATATATATTGATTGTAACTAATTATTATAACTTTTTTTGACTTTATCGTACCGGCAAAATCAATTTACAAACGACAATATTACGTAAAAATGTTTCATTTTACAAAAAAACGTTGTTCTTTATTTCGATAGTTCACTACTTGTCCGCTGGATAACGCGAACGGTACTGTTTCTCGACAGCGCGCGTTTATGCATGAATTTTAAAATCAGGTAAGAAAGAAATTCCCAAAATGTACTCAACCTTTTTATTTAATCATTTTACAATATACTATTATATTTTACATCTGTGTTACATATTAAATCGCTATTGTACTTTCGTTATGAAGGTAAACTTAAATATGTTCCATCACAACAAAACGACATAGTTTTTAGTACTGCCAAACATAAATTGTAACGTTACTCGGCTATAAATATTCCGTACGTATATGTATATGAAAGGCCATTAAATGGTACAAAAAAGTAGAATGCTCAGGTTCATCATTCCGTTATCGCCTGACAGTGATTAGAGTGGGGATTTACGTCCCATTACTTTCTCATTCAACACGCAATATAATAATCTGTCCTTTTTTCCACACGTCGTTAGAAAGAAACAAGATGATGCACAGTCTTCTTTTAATTTTTGCTATATTCTAAGTATGGAGAACATTAGCCTCGCACGTTCTAGGAATAATATATCTGTGCCTATACACGTCGTGTGTGGTATTACTGCAAAAACCTAGTAGATGTCGCTACATGATACGAAGTACATTTCCGTTGGCTGCATGCTCATTGGTACTTGGTATTTGGTGGGGTGTCTATGACATCACGACGCATGTTCATACGTACTATCGAATATGCCAAATGACAGGTGGTGTAGTAGTTCTGTTACGTACTGTGGATCGAGGGTACAGCCCGTATCCTCGCGTCACGCGATCGGCACGTTGTTATTCGTAGGTGTCAGTGTTAAGTTTTGTGATGCATACCACGATATCACGCAAACTGCCTGATAGATTTAACTCCGTAAGAAGCGGTGAGTCCACAAATTCTCTAGTACTAAGAACAATTTCATTCCTTCCATCCTGCTGACAGCTTTATGTTTATAACGCGTACAGTTCGACGAGATTTCATTTAAACTGAAACAAATGTTCACTTACATCTCGCGAGATGCGTTACCAAGGTCTCTTCGGAATATTTGCAACGTGCATTATCACTTTGTACGCACAAGTGCAAGAGATGATTTCATATCGTTCCATTACGTTTCATCCGGTCCATCTCTTTCAGATCATTGATTCTCAATGTTTTAAGTAGTTAACTGATTAATCGAGTTTAATAAAAGTAGCTGCAGTGTTCACGTGCAAAGTGCCGATTGATGATTTTCAGTGTAGTCAACTATGAATTCCGTTTTATCACACATGGTATTCGGATGCAAATTGGAGTGAAAAAAGAAAAGAGACTCGATGTAATCTTGTGAAAGGTTTCATATCGTACGTGAGTATTTGATATGAAAAAGGACAATTTATTTTTTCCAGCGCTTTTGAGACAGCTATACAGCACACCAGGAATAGGGCTATACGGAATTTTGTTTCTGTGAGTAAACACCAGTTTACTGCAATACAATTTATGAATATCTTTGGTAAGGTGTTTACGAAAGGTTAAGGTGCATGCGCGTTTCCGGGGATCAACTAACAGAATCTTTCTCGTTTTTTCTCTTTTCTCTTCTCATTATTTCCTCTATGCGAATCTCGGTTTGATTAGGCGAAGAATGCCAATCGAACTTCATTGAGGTTGTATTCTGTCGCAGGAATTTTTATTAAAATTAACCTCAGATGGTGGAGGTTTTGACATATGACTTATTCCCATTCAGTTTCAATTTCTTTTTCTCTTTAGATACTCTTTCGAAAATTTTTCGAGTGCCTAATTTTAATGGACGCCAACGCGTAGGGCTCACAATTGACCCGGCCACTATTGTTCTAGTATTCATTTAAAAGATAAATGAATATTTTTATCTTTTATTTTTCAATAAAATTCGGAGGATTACATAGGTTCATAAATATGTATACAGTTACAAATAAATATCTTAATTAAGTAAAATTTGAAACTATAATTTAACATTCGTTTGCAATGCATATGTTCGGGTAGTAATAGTACATTTTTTGTAGGGAATAATCAGATCCCCGATATTTCGGTCATTATCGATTGCAGGACGTGAAACTGGGTAGGGTCCTCCATTTGAAATATCTCAATGCAGATTCTGGTTACCATGTTTCTCTTCTTTTCTAAATGTCCTGAAATATTGCAACGATAATTCAAACTGAATAATTTTGTATGCATTCCCCGAACTTTTTGCCAATTTCTAAAGTATACTTTAAACTTTTATGACGTTTATAAATTACATTACATTAATGCATCTGAAATGAGCTTTGAATTTCACAAAATAATTTCAGGCAACGCGACTTCAGTTATTATAGATTATTGATCAGTGGTTCTCAAGTACAGGAAACATGTGGGTAGTAAGTGGATAATTTGTGCAATATACAACAACAATCTAACGCTGTATTTTTAAACGTTAAACAATAATTATGGAACAAAGCTTGAGTTAAAATTAAATTCACGTTCAAGTTTAAACAAAACTGAACAAAATTAGTTTTCATCAAAGTATCACATTGAATTACTTTGTTTATTAATAATTATATTTGTTAATATCATTATATTAATATATCCTTTGTACAATTATTCGAATCAATATAAAATTATGACAGTGATTTAAGTATATGTACATAACTTAAAAATTATAATCAAAATTATTAAAAATTTTTGTGTACATATAAAAAATATATGATTGTGATTTAAGTATATATACGTAACTTAAAAATTATAGTCAAAATTATTTAAAATTTTTCTGTATATATACAAACAATAAAATATAAAATTATATGACTGTGATTTAAGTACACATACATAACTTAAAAATTATAATCAAAATTATTAAAAATTTTTCTGTATATATACAAGCAATAAAATGTAAAAATATATGACAGTAATTTAAGTACACATGCATAACTTAAAAATTATAGTCAAAATTATTTAAAATTTTTCTGTATATATACAAAAAATAAAATATAAAATTATATGACAGTAATTTAAATATGTATATATCATTCAAAAATTATAATTAAATTACTTAAAATTTTTGTGCACATGTACAAAACATACTTTAGTTGGTATTCGAATTTTGATTTTGGTACACATTTATGAAAGTGAGAACTACTGTTAAAGATCATATTAAAGAAAGGAGTTTCTAATAACATATGTACAATAGCTTGCAGTTATTAATCTAAACGTGAATAGGATATTAAATATTTAATGTGCTACCGGTCGCACATTAGGTGAGCCACGTGGTTTTGTGAAACAGAGACCAACGTGGGTCATATGTGGGACGTTGTTCAAAGGCGTAGTCGCATCCATGAGTCACTTGGTCTATTCAGTAAACTGACCATACACCCACTATTTCATATAAAAACCATAATTAGAAATATTTTTAAAATTATATTTTTGACAAAAGGGAACCAAATATACTAAATCATTTCACAGTATTTATTGAAACTCAATTTTCATTTGTATTTATGATATTTGGATAATCCTATAGTACTCATTCTACCAGAAGTAATTTGATCAATGTCTTTTCTACTTGCTTACAAATAAAGAACTGATTTGTGTATGACATTAGTGTGTTACTCAAGGCCTGTTTGTAAACATGATCGAATTCTTAAACACTGTACAGAAACTTTTTTTATTCCACGCGTGTTACCTTGTTCCCTCAGAAATGAGTAGGAAACATAATTTGTAAGCTTAGGAATTTGGAAATATCGGAATTAGGGGATTTGGTAGCTTGGAAG